GGAGTACTTACTACGCATTGCTAAAAACCAGTAATGAACACATGAAGCACATTGCCGCAAGGGAAGAACTAGAGGAAATGATGCTAAGCAAAGTAAGCCAAGCACAAAAGGAAAAGCACAACACGAGTCTACTGAGATAAGCTTAAGAATGCAAAAGGGGCATAGTACACAAATATTCCTGGTTGAGTTCCAGGTAGTATGGCAGGGCCAGACAAAATCCAGGGATACATATGGTAGCCAATTAAAAAGGAGGGGGAAAAAAAAGAAATGGGTAGCGGGTAAACAGGGCACTAACCCACCCAAGGGAAGAGTATTGTTCAAATCTCCACAGGGAAAGAGGGACCAGACTTCAACCCAGTGCTCCAAGTTGTGAATGCAACATACCAGCATGAAGCAGAGAACCAGTAGAGAGGTCTCAGGGGCTGGCCCCAATCTCAACTACGTGGACAGCTGCCCCCTACCCCCAGAAGAATTTACTTCTGAGGACAGCACTGAAGCTATAGCTCAGGGAGAGGGCCATGTCTGATGAGAGCACACAGGAGAAAATGAAGGGGAAGGAAGAGAGAGTGGAGCACAACCTGTCCCACCAAGCCTTAAGGACGATATCCCTGCTCAGAGCAGTCAATGCACAGAGAGGATCATATGGCTGGCCCCACTATGAGACGACATCTCTCACTAACCTATAGACCTACAGGGGACAACACTGGAGACACAGTGTGGGAATAATGCCTGATCTGAGGCAAAACACTAAGGATGTGCAACATAACATCAAGGGGACCAGAGCAAGGAACTCCCAAGGAAATCCTAAAAATAGACTTTGGTGCCAGGTCATGGCACCCCATCAGACTGGACCTAACAAGCCTAAAGGTCAACAAACGGACCTTGAACTACTTATAGGCTATTCTTTTTTGTCATTGTTTTTGTTGTTGTTGTTGTTGATGATGTTTTGTTTTCTTTTGCTCTGTCTTGTTTTTGTGCATATTATTATCTCTGCAGGTCGATCTGGAGGAGAAAACCATGGAACAGGTGGTTCCAGGGGGACATGGAAGAGGGGGAGGGAAGGACGTGGGTGTTAACAAACTCAGGGACAAGGGCACAACAACCGATACAAAATCAGTGGACAGAAGGGTGTAGGAGGCCTGGGAGGGCTTGATCAAGGGCAATGTAACTGAGAGGAATTACTGAAACATAAATGAAGACTGAGCATGATAGTGGGACAAGAGGAAAGTAAAAGGAAATAGAGGAAAGAACTAGGAGGCAAAGG